TGTGCGTTTCATCCCTAGCGACAAGAATTCTACGGATAACGTTCTGTACATGGCTCCTATAGTTGATGTGTTTCTACTTCCTACAATGCTCATTACAGAAGAAAACGTGATCAGTATTACTTTTGCCTTTACCCGAGATGATATCAAGATCAGTTAGTGTCTCTTATTCAGTTCAACACTAGCATATCTTGTGGATTTGACTAACTTTTTGGTCATACCAATATTTCACTTGGATTCCCATTGAGTTTTGTTCTCAAGTGGTCTTGTGACATCATACAAAAACTTTGAACACCATGCAAAGAGCTTCATTGACCAGCAATTCGAGCAGAAGCCACAGGAGATGAAGAATGTGTTGTCAAATGTTTTATGAACCAGTGATTATGGTGTTGAACCAATGTTGTTATCATATGATTTTTATTTATTGATACAAGATGAAGTCTGTCTTCTTCAACCCCAAGATTAAAATTGAGATATAATGAAGATTTCTTTCCACATAAGGAGAGCTGAAATTCTAACAACAAGAAAATAGTGGCGCCAACTAAGGTTGAACGACAGGTTATTGTTAAGCATCTCGACATGATATGGTCCAAGTTGCCTTATTCGAGATCTGATTATATGTAGAGACATGAAAGGAATTGGAATAAATCTTCCTTGTGATGTGTTTCAAGAGTTAAATTAGAACAGACTCTACTCCCCTAATTAATTCCCGCTGAGTCAGACATATCTACATCTACACTCTTCAAAGATGATAGATTCTCTTTTTAAAGATGATAGATTCTCTTTTCAAAGATGAAAGCTTTATGGGATTTATACACAAGTCCAAGCAAATAAAGTTGGTTTTATCCAAGACAAAATGGGGTATCAGAGTCATAATTTTGACTACGACAAGAGTTCCATAAATGAAACATTTCTTCTAAGACTTAAATGAAGCAAAGAAGGCACCAAGATACAAGTTGATCAGATGATTCTGCAGAAATGCAAGCTTGATAGCATAAGTTTCTACACTAATATCCAGAGGTAACCCTGGCAATAAATGATAAAGTGAAGGAAGACCAAGTTCACCACTTTGAAGTCAAATGAAGATTGCATCAACATTCATGCATTCATAAGAATATCATTTACACAATAGACAATGCATTACATTGATATATCTGAGTGCATTCAAACATGAAGTTTTACAGATCTTCAGAAGAACAAGAAGATTCATGGAAAAAATACCTTACAGGAAGAAGGTATTCAAAACCGCAAATACAGGAATCACGCAAATATTTGAAGAATAGATGGACGTAATCCACAAAAATGAGCATTATCTTGAGATTGGGGCATGTTACCCAATCAACATGTTATTTCGAAAAATAATGAGAAAACGATTTCCATAGTTTCTCATTCAATCTTTTCTAAAATTGAAATTGTTGAAAAGTAAGAAAACGATTTCCTTAGTTTCTTACTTAGTAAACTATTTCCCACATCTGTAAGTCCTACAGTGCATGATGTTTCCAAAAAGCCTTCGGGAGCTTTTTGATGTTTTCAAAGCCTTAGGGTCATCTGTAAGTCCTACAGTGCATGATGTTTCCAAAAAGCCTTCGGGAGCTTTTTGATGTTTTCAAAGCCTTAGGGTCATCTGTAAGTCCTACAGTGCATGATGTTTCCAAAAAGCCTTCGGGAGCTTTTTGATGTTTTCAAAGCCTTAGGGTCATCTGTAAGTCCTACAGTGCATGATGTTTCCAAAAAGCCTTCGGGAGCTTTTTGATGTTTTCAAAGCCTTAGGGTCATCTGTAAGCCCTTCAGTGCATGATGTTTTCAAAACCTTCGGGTCATCTATAAGTCATACAGTGCATGATGTTTCCAAAAAGCCTTCGGGAGCTTTTTGATGTTTTCAAAACCTTAGGGTTATCTGTAAGCCCTTCAGTGCATGATGCTTTTTTAGGACCTCAGGAATGATGTTTTCAACATTTCAGTCTTACTCAAAAGAAGAAAAATGAAAAATTATTATTTTTTTTCGTCTTTGCTCTATTCTTGTTAACACAAGAATGAGCAAAGAGGGGCAGCTGTAGACAATAATTTTTCACTTTCATTAAAATTATTTTATTATTATTACTATTAATATTAATATTATATATTATTATTATTATTTAAATAAAATACAAGCCTAAGACCCAGAGGCCCATTTTACAAATCTTGGAGGCCCAGACCCAATCCAAGCCTAAACAGATAACCTAAACCTTTTAGGGTTTGTATCATTCATGCTAAGGTTTCAAACCCTAGCCCCCAGCTGCCTCCAAGATTTCAGAACATCCACGCGACGCCACCTCCACATCCAGTCGCCGTTACTGACGTTTCCACTGCAGGTGACCCAACCAGATGCTACCGATGCCTTGCTGCCACTACGCCGTCTCAATGAAGCCTCCAGAAGTGCTGTGTCATCGCCCCATGTCGAGCTCTATGGTGAGTCACCACCATAGCTATGGTGACTCACCGAGAAACCCTTCTGTGACTGGTCCAAGACAAGCACTGGAGGTGGCTATAAAAGCCACCACACCTGCGAGACAGAGAAAGCAGCGAGCAAGAACGAAGAACATAGCAACCAAAACAGAATCGACAGCAAAAAGAGAGGAGAGACGAAGAACAGACCACAACAACGAGCCAAACAATACCCATAGCAGCGAATCAAAAACAAAGAGAGAAGAAAGGAAAAGACTTACCCTCGGGAAGCCTAAGCATAGCCAGAAACTATGTAAAAACTGAGGTAAAACCGTCGGTTTGTTTTCTAGATTTACTCCGATTAGGAGAATTTTAAGGAAAACTAAGGCTAGGTTCGGCTTTAGGGGGTTTAGAGCTCCGTTTTGGGGTATTTTGGGATTTTTCGACCACCGTGACGGTGACCGACGCCGGAGCACGGCTGTCGGCCGGTGGTCTCCCTCTCTGTTTTAGAGAGAAGACAGAGCTTCTCTCTCTAAGAGAGAGAAGCTGAAAAACGAAAATGAGAGGAGATGGCCATTTTAGGCTGGTTTTAGGGTATTTATACCCTCTCTCAAACGACGCCGTTTTGGGGGAGGGTATCTGTGTAATTTCCCTTTTGGGAAAATCATTTCCGCAACACCCACAGATTCATAACATTGCAATTTAGTCACAAGAATTAATTGCTAATCCTTTTAATTTAATCTTGTAATTTTATTTTATTTTATTTTAGTCCCTTACAGTTTAGTAATTATCATTTTAACCCGAATTAATTAAATAACACTAAATTACATTATTAGCACTTAGATCTTTTTATTATTCGATTTAGAACCTTTAATTTTAATAATGATCACTTTAATCACCTATTAATAATTAGGGTTAATTACATCATTAGTAATTATATTTTTATAATAATATAAATAAGGGCTGTAAAATTTTAATTTTTATTATTTTAATATGTTTTAGTCAATATTTAATTGCAATTTAATTTGTATTATTATCATTTCAGTTCCAATATGTTTAAATGTTTACTTTAATTATTATTTTATTATTTTAGTCATATATATATATATATATTTGTTTAATTGATAATATTTATTTATTTTTAATATCAAAGAAAATGACAGTCTTAAAGCAACTAGATGTCCTATTCTGATATTTTAAAAATAAATAAACATCTTACTTATAAAAACAAGAAAATACATATTGTTTTATTTTATTAGAGAAAATTATTATTAATATTTAAATATTAAGAAAGGGCAGTCTTAAAGCAACTGGATGTCCATTTTCTGATATTTTTAAATAAATATTTTACTTTTATCAATTATATATATTAATCTAATTTTTTTTATTATTTTTAAATATTTTATTAATATTTATTTATTTATTTTAAGGAAAGAGCTGTCTTAAAGCACCTAGAAGCCCTTTTCTAATATTTCTAAATAAATAAATATGTTAAGAATATATATATATATATATATATATATATATATTTTCTTTAAATTATATTAATAAATTTAAAATAACATGATTATAAATTAAATATATCTTTGAATTTTTAATTTCTAATAATAGATACAATTTATAATTAATAAGTACCAATTTTGGGCGTTGTGGGGGTGCTAATCCTTCCCCAAACGTAATCGATCACGAATCCCTTTTTATTATTAAAAAGAACGAATCTTTGGTTAAAAAGCAGGTCAGTTTATCTTTTAACTGATGTTTTCTTAAAAACTCTTTTAAAAGATAATTTTTAGGTATTCGACCTACCTGATCCAAAAGGCCGATGGCGACTCCCAAAACATTTTAAAAACTATTTATTCATATTATTTTTCCCGTCAAGTAAAAATTTCGTGGCCGGACGAAAACCGGTTACGACACAGGATAAAAAAGGATTGGGGGACTCAACTTATTGTCAATATCTACCTGGTGCCATCATGGACACATAAAATGGAGGGCCTTTTTGGTGGTGGAGGTTGGCATGATATGCCATGTCATAAGCAGTTGTGTAACTTCGCAATTTTCTTTATGATTCACACATATTCTATGCAAAATTTGTTTTGTGCCTTGTTTCCTTCATATGATAGGGACTGGTCTAAGCCTTGATTTTGTGCTTGTTTAGGCACTCCTTGATTTTGAAAGGCATAAGATTTCGGGGGGGGGGGGGGGGCTTAATATACCTATTTCATCGCAATCAGTGGCTATGAATGTTGATAATCAGGTAATATGAAATATCCTTCAACTGTCGGTTATTTTTTTTATAGAAAATCAAAGATTTTAGATTATGGTAAATTTTGTGTCTTTAAAAGTATTAACTTTACACAATCATGTTTTCCCTACCTTATCTGCATAGAAGTTGTATGGGAATACTCTATACTATAAAAAGTTTGTTACACTTTGTATCCCTAGTTAGAATCCATTTAACGAGGTTTATATTTCTTAATTATCCCTTCCAACATTCTTTCTGATTCTATTTGTAATTAAGCTTCACGATCCGGTAGAGCACGAAAGGATGCAGCTGCACGTGCTATGAAGGGTTGGCACTTACGTCATTTCCGTAACGGTGAAGTCAATGACTCGATAATTAAGGTGTGTATGAAAATCTAGTGAGCAATTATGTTCTTTTCTTTCCCATCCTATTCATCCATAAAGTGGGAAAAAAGCTAAAAGAAGAGCTGTGCTTCTAGTTATGTGCATTTTCATGTGTAATCTTTTGACGATATAGTATTATATTGCAATTTGCCCTTCTTTTGTAGGATAAGAATTCTATTTCTCAACAAAAGCGTGAAAAACAGCTTAAAAGCCTGGGTATGTCATTAAGTCCTTTAAACAGATTTTTCTTTCTAGCTGTTTTAATACTGATGAAGATCTATGATGCTGGATTCTTGCATATTAATGCAGGTTTTCTTAAACGTAAGAAACCATCATATTCGAACTATGCTGTTAAGACCCATGGGTTTTTTTTTTTGGTTTTTACTATGAGCTTTAACATTTTGTTTGACTTCATTCTTAATTGGCTAGTGTTAAGACAGCGGTGGTTGATATTGGATCCTCGGCAGATTGGGTTAAGATCAATGTGCAGAAAACTGTAAGTTTCTTTTCCCTTGATCTCCAGAAATGACATGATTCTGGTTTTTTGAAAATTTTGACTTGTTTTGATTTTGCAGAAAGATTTTTTTGAGGTATATGCTTTAGTTCCAGGCCTTCTTTGTGAGGAGGTCTGTGAACAAACTTGTAAAACTATGTATAGTTTTCATTTTCTTCTAGCACGCATGGTTCAAACCAATCCAAACAGAAGTGCCTTGCATTGAATGATCATCATCTAAAGATTGGCTTAAAATGCAGCTTTACTAGCATTTGGTTTTATGGAGCATGAGAATGTGATGGTGCAGCTTTGAGATGTATATTTCATGGCAGTAGCTAATACCGTTTCTCCTGTGATGAAATTAATGCTACATTTCTGCACTGTCTATGCAAGTTTCTTATGTGGTTATTTTGCAATTTTAGGTGCGTGTTCAATCTGATCCTGCAGGACGCCTTGTAATAAGCTGTGAACCTGAGCATCCGGATAATCCTTGGGGTGTCACACCGTTCAAAAAGGTGCAGTACTAACGTATTCTAAGAGAGCAGTATTCTTTGCTTTACTAATTAGAATAAACTTCCGTTGTGTCTATCTAGATTTCATTATCATGAATATATTTGTACGCCATGTTTTGTTCTCAAGTTGGTTTCACATCATTGATAATGAATCTTCTCTAAATAATAATTATATAAATGAGAAGACTTAAAAGTTAAGTGATGCCATTTATTTCATGATTCTGAAAATTGTGTTTGGTGTTGTTAGGTTGTCAGCTTACCGTCGAGGATTGATCCGCATCAAACATCAGCGGTCGTAACCTTTCATGGACAATAAAAGTAACTTCAAAATTTGAGCAAATAAAATTCTATCCTTTCATGTGTTATGTAATCAGTGTTATGTATTAAATGTTATGTTGTAAGCAGTTAGATGTTTAGGTGTAGAGGTGTATTATTCTTCTCATTAATAAAAGTCAGGCACTCTTTTCCTCCTTCCTTCATGTTATGATTGTAACATGTAGGATATGAAGGGGGTTTTAATGAGTCCTAATATTCTATAAAAAAACTCTGACCCAAGAAAAGTATCAGCTTAAAAAGAACAAAACGACGATCATATACAATCACAGTCCAGTTCAAGAAATTGTGAGGTAAATAAAAGCTGTGAAGATATAGAAGAGAACATACAAGACCAAAATGTATGCATTGTAAAAAAAAAAAAAAAAAGATGAATAGAGAACATCATCCAAGAAAGTTCAAACTTGTAGAAGTGTAGATAAAACACACGCAACTATGCAACCTAACAGCACGTCAAGAAGATGTAGAGCAAAACACATGCAACCTAAAACATATATCAGTAAGTACTCATTTAACCTCATAAAAAAGCTTCATAAATAATGAGATGGTGCATATGATTAGTATGAGTATTATATTGTTAATAAAGTTATATAATAGTGTGAACGTTTAACCGAAAATTAGGGCGAACCCTTTAATCTAAATAAATGCCTCACGGATTTAGGGTCGGGCATCATGCCTGAATTCGATGGTTCTGATCTGATTCGATTCAATCGGATTAGATTTTTTTTTTAAAAATTGAGGTTGGATAGGTTTTTAGAGGTTGTGTTCGGTTCGGATCGAATTCGGAATTAGGGTGAAAAATACCTAACTCGGCCCGAGAAAAACATAAAATTTTACCTTTATATATAGGAATAATTACAATAATGTCCTATATTTTTTTTCAATTAAATCTCTATTTTTATTGAATAAAAATAATATTTTTTAAATAAATATATTATTTTGGGCCGGGTCGGGTTTAGATTTTATCTCAAAAAGTCGAATTGGGTCGGTTTTGGGTGGAGGATGTATAATGTTCGAATCGGATCGGGTTGGGCAAAATTCCGATCCTATCCGACCCATGCCCATCCCTACACATATTATACAGTTTTGGTTAAAAAGAAGCTTACAAATTATGAATTAAAGATCAATTTATTTTTCTTTGGCTTAAATGCATCGTTAGGGGTGTTTAATGAGTTGAAAAGTTAAAACTCGACTTGATGAAAACTCGATTGAGATTGACTCGATTCAACTTGAGTTCGACTCAAGACCTTAACAAGTTGGTTCAAGTAAAGTCCAACTCAACTCAATAAGTTTGCGAGTAGCTCGTTAATGTTTTTATATGATTTTTTAATAGTTATCTTAAGAAATTTATTTTATTTAAAAAATATAATTTACTAATAGATAATAAAAAAAGATGATGAGTTATTAATCTATTAATTTTCTAATAAACAACAAAAAAAAACTAAATTAGTAATTAACATTTTATTACACTAAGAAGTCAAACCCTATTTATTATTTTAATATATTTATAGATTGTTACTTTGAATAGCTTGAAATTACTTCATACACTCTTTTGATAAATGTTTTGAAATATATGTTTATATTAAGTTATGATAATAGTAGATTTTACATATATTTAAGAAAATAACGTAAAAATTTCGGTGAGTTTAACGAACAACGATGCGAACAACTAGCTTAACGAGCAACGGGTCAAGCAACAAGTTTTTTAACGAGCACGAGTCTAGTAAAAATTTAACAATCTTAACGAGCAACGAATTGAGTCGAGCAATAAATTTTTTAACGAGCACGAGTCGAGCACTGCCCAACTCGCGAACGACTCGCTTAATAGGCACCCCAATGCATCATTGCCCTCTAAATTATGTCATTTGTATCAGGTTACTCCTTAAAGTGTCTTTCGAGACGTTTTATCTCCTGAAATTTAAATTGTTATTTCATTTGCTTGAACTGCTACCTCTGTTAAAAAAACACAAGGGTAAATTATATATTAGGCCCTCAACTATTTTAGCAGTTATATTTTGGTTATCTAACTATTTTTTCTTCAAAATCATCATTAATGTAACACTCCCAACCCATACCCGACCCGGATACGAGTCCGATGTGTCACATTGACCAGTCAAAGCATATACTTTATAAAAGAAACCATAGAAAATTTAAATCTTCTAATCTATAAGAAATTCTTTTACATAAACGTGTCAAAAACCTTAACAGACTCCATCAGAGCGTACATATTTAGTGACTTAGTTACATGCCAACATACTAAATTATATGACACGACGTACTTTACAAAAATATTTATGATCTGAACTTTGCACGGAGATATGCTGCTTTACGGATCCCAAGCATAATCTTCTGATTGATCCACACCTACGTGTAAGACACTTACACGCTAAGTTATAGACTTAGTGAGACATGTAAATATATAAGGTAAACTAACAATTGCATGAACATCTTATGTAATACACATTATACTTATACACCTATTGAACTCATCACTAACATGTTTATCCTTACTTATTTCCTTGTCATTAATTTCATTCCATTATATGAGCATATATTGAATATAAACATATAATATAACTTCAACACACAACAATACATGAGTAAGTACTATGATCATACCATGCATAACCATATAACATCTCGTATCACCATTACACATATGCACTTGTTACCATTACTATCATATGATCCTAACTTATTACTTATACATATCACATATCCCTTTTCACGAGAAACACACATATCATTATATCAAATTATATTTCTTTTTAAAGCCCATGCACACTATTGAGAACTTAAGGTATGTGAGTACATAGAGGTTGTGCACAATGCTGTCACCACAACTCGTATAAATCCCACTAGGGGCGCGTAGAATTTGTCCCGTAGGACCACTGTGTCCCGAAGGACCACTGTGTCCCGAAGGACCATTATGTCCCGAAGGACCACTATGTCCCGAAGGACCATTATGTTCCGAATGACCACTATGTCCCGAAGGACCACGTAGACCCTCGACTCTTGGCATGCCAACTATACCTATAGCTCTCTTATTATATAACATGGGCATTATTATTCATCTTTTTACATATTCACGTAGGCACATAATTCACTTTCACATAACATATTTCCATGTAATTCACATTCACTTATCACATAGCTTTTCACTTTTTCTTGTATTCCTTTTCACATAGTTCATAGCCATGATTCTTATCTCACAACACATGTTCGCATATACATGTTATCATACAACCCCTTCATTCAATTATAACATCTAATCTATCTTATTATACTAACATGTATTCATATCATTCATTTCATATACATAACATATCATATAACCTTCTAATAGAGACACATATGAGTCATATTATTTTCACATATATTTTATCATATATCTCATGATCACATGACCTATTATCATACATAAATGCATTTACATAGTTCACACATAAAGATACATTCAACAATTAGACATAAGCATTTACTCATATACCATACATCTAACACCATATCACTACATGTTTATGCTTTAGTGCTTATATCATATAATATCGAAATTAGACTCATCGCAAGTCTTAATTCCTTAACATAACGTATACTTACTATCATGTACTCACCTGGTCTCAATGAACACTCTTAAGCTCTTATTTTCTTTGCGTATCTTACTCTGCATGCCTATCCGAACTTTGCTTTCGATCGATGTCTACACAATCAAATATTTATACTATCAGTATTCCATTGATATACTATAATCTATAATTTCTTAGACTGAAAGAAAGATTTATTTCATTTCCTATTGAAGTGCATCGGTACATTATAACATGCATCGATGCATCCCTTAACATGTGCATCGATGCACTACCCATGCATCGGTACATCAATCACCTTTGATGTTTTCATTTTTAAGGGGGTGCATCGATGCACTCCTTATGCATCGATGCACTAATGGCATTCGATGTTTATTTATTTGAGAGTGCATCGGTACACATTGAATGTGCATCGATGCACACAACCCAGAAATTACATCCTGAGCACGAAAATGTCTTGTTTTGACCCCAAATTCTACTTATTAATCCTTCCTTGTACCTTAAAACTTATATATACATATATAAACCTTCTTATAACACTAAAACACTTTACCATCTCCCATAATCCACCATAATTCTTGAATCAAAGAATTTCATTAAATTTTCCATGTGTTCTAAATTCAATTCTATCACCTCTAACTTCTTAATTAACCCTTTGACAAGTCAAATTCATTCTTGGAACTTCAAAAACCTTTTTATAACAAAAGTTCATTTCTTAACTCTTAATAGAAATTCCTTTCTATTTCTTTCCTCTTGGTGTTTTAAGCTTATATAAGCTTTCCTTAAGCTTATATAACACTCAAAGAATAAAAACACAACTCAAATATTCAAGAATTAACCATCAAAATTAAAACTCACCTTTGAGGCTTAAGCATGAACACACGGGAAGAAGAAAGAAAGAAGAAAAAGAAGAGTTTCAGATAACTCTCCAAACCCACGTGTTTCATTCTTATAAAAGGAAGAAAATATCTTTTAAGCTAACATTACCATAATGCCCTTAAAATCCTTTCATATTTACCCTTTCATCCAATAATGAAATATCCCTATTAAAATTCTTGAACTTTCAATTTTTCCTAAATTGATCCCCAAATTTTAAAAATTCTCATTTTTGTCACTAACCTTAATTTCAGGATGTTACAATTAAACTTAAATTTTTGTTCCGTCTTTATCACCCAATTCAATTCGATATATTTTTTAAAATTTTTAATGTATAAGAATCAAGACGGATTTTCAGCTACCTTCTATGATACATTATAATGAGAGTTGATGCTGCTCCCACAAGAATAGTGATTTTAAAGCCCGGTCCTGATAGGATTTAAGAGCGTGAAGAATCATCGACCGGCTCCTCTGGCACTTTTGATGAGAGAGCTAGTATAGAAGATTTCCTTGAGGAGGGAAAGGAACGACTAAAACTTGAACTG